TCAAAATGGAATTCCATTTACCATTGGAAACTAATTTGTGTTCTTTAAAGGCAACAACTGAAGTACTTAAAAATTCCAATGTAATTAAAATAACTAGAACTAATAAGATCACTTTGGTGTTAGAGCGAAAGATGTTGAAGATATCTTAAAGACAAGAAGACTTTATTGAGAAAGCTTTGGCGTTGGTTAAAGATTGATTGATTTTATTTGGTTAATTGGTTAATTAACAAATAAAACATTTGCTTATACCAAATTTTTTTAATAAAAAAGTACAAATCATTTATCGCTTTCATATCTTGGGTATTATTAAAATATTTGCAACATAAGAATTTTAAATAAAAACACACACTTATGACTCTTACTAGGGTGGACTAGTCATATTTCTACTAATCAAAATAAAGAATAGGGTTGATTTTCTTTTATCCCCAAAAATATATAGGGACAAAAAGTGCGTGCCAGCCGTTCCAATTAGCATAATTGGCGGCACATGATGTGGACCTTGCAATAAAATATGTAAGACCTGGATTTTCAAATAATACACCAAAATTCTATATTGAATTAGCTTGCGGATGCATGGATGTTAATCCGGATAAACGTCCAACTGCTGAAGAAATTTTTATTTTGGGATGATTCACTTTAATAAATAATCTTGACGGATATTCAAAAGAACAGAAGGATGAATTAGAATCAATTAGAAAAATGAAATGGATGAAATAAATTTTGATCCTTTGACAATTACTGCAGCAATTAATCCCAAATGCAGTTTAACTAGTAGATTGTTAAAATTTACAAGCTTTCCCTAACCTGTGAATTCCAACAAGTGACAATTATCAGTAATTATGATAATTATTAACATTCATTTTTAAATTTTATTATTATAGTATTTATAATATCCATTCTTGTGATTCTCAACACTATATCAGATGAAATATAAAATCTTGTCAATTGTTTATTTATTTCCAGACTTGTATATTTTACAATTGATATAATATTAATATAAATAATACAAGTGCATATTATAAAAAAATATTATGGCTGTTACTGCGCCACACGATCAAATTTCAAAAATAAAATTGATTGTTTTAAGCATTATTTTGTTGAAAAAAAAAAAGTTCAAAATTTTAATCTTTTGAGTAAATGCATGTTCTATTTGTTGTCTCAACTGTAAATAATAGTTGACCTACAAAAGGCAAATAATTTAATTGTCAATCTATATTATTTTGTGTAAAATTTTTTTGATAGTAAAAAATACAAATAATTTTTAAAAATGAAAAACACTTTAAATGAGGGCAAAAATATGTTAAAGAATTTTTTCAACAAAGCAGCCAATAAGCATCACAATGATGTTTCTACTGACAACAAAAATGACAATGATGAAGATCCATATATTCGATATAATTATTATGGAGAATGTCCAACCTGCAATAGATATAATACTAATTATTCATGGTGTCAATCATGTGATCCAAAGCTATTAACTGTAGGATGGACTAGTGGCAATGAAACATTAGATGGGTTGGTTAAAAGCACACAACTTGAAGCATCTTGTTATGATAATGATTGTTATCTTCAATGGGTTCCTTATAATGATTTGTCAGATATTGAAAAGATAGGTGAAGGTAGTTTTGCAACTATATACAAAGCTACTTGGATAAATGGCAGGAAATCTGCAAATTATAATGGCAAAAGAACTAGTGAAGATAGGACTGTAACATTGAAAAAATTATATAATTCACCAAATATTTTTGATGAATTTCTTAAAAAGGTAATTATTTATTTTCTGATTTTTCATTATTATTATCAAAGTTAACAAGTTAATAAAAAAAAATTTTTTTTAGTTCAAAAATTATGTTAAGTTTCATAACAAATCATTTATAATTAAAATTTATGGGTTAACACAAGATCCAACTACAAAAGAATATATATTTGTATTGGATTATTGGGAAGATCAAAGTTTTCAAAATTATGAAGATTTATTTATGAGAAAAGAAAGACATGGCAAATGTCCAACTTGTGATAGAAATAATACTAGTTATGCATGGTGTCAATCATGTGACCCTAAATTATTAACTAAAGGATGGACTAGTGGTAATAAAACATTAGACGAGTTGATTAAAAGCACGCAACTTGAAGCAGCAACTTATGATATTTATTGTTACCTTCAATGGATTCCTTATAATGATTTGACAGATATTGAAAAGATAGGTGAAGGTGGTTTTGCAGTCATATACAAAGCTACTTGGATAAATGGTATGAAATATGCAGATTATGATGGCAAAATAACTAAACTAGATATGACTGTGGCATTGAAAAAATTACATAACTCACAAAATATTTCTGATGAATTTCTTAATGAGGTAAATTATTTATTTTCTGATTTTTTAAATACAGTTCATTATTATTTAATTGAAATTAAATATTTTTTTTTAGTTAAAAAATTATGTTAATTTTCATAAGAATCAAAATATAATTAAAATTTATGGATTAACACAAGATCCAGCTGGAAAAGAATATATATTTGTAATGAAATATATGGAAGATGGAAATCTTCAAGATTATTTAACAAAAAGTTTTAAAAATTTAAAATGGAAACAAAAAATACATATTCTTCATGATATTATTGGAAGTTTAAAATATATTCATAAACAAAAAATTATTCATCATGACCTTCATAGTGGCAATGTTCTTCAAGATAAAATTGATATGTGTTCATGTATTGCAGATTTAGGATTATCATGTCCAGCTAGTCCTAGCATCAGCAAACAAAAATGATATATTTGGAGTACTGCCATACGTTGCACCAGAAATTTTAAGAAAGAAACCATACACGATAACATCAGATATATATAGTTTTGGAGTTCTGATGTCTGTGGTATCAACTGGACAAAAGCCATTCAGTAATTTGGCACATGATGTGAGTCTTGCAATAAAAGTATGTGAAGGTGTAAGACCTGGATTCTCAAATAACACACCAAAATTCTATATTGAATTAGCTTACAGATGCATGGATGCTAATCCAGATAAACGTCCAACTGCTAAAGAAGTTTTTAATATTATTGATGCTTGGAATAGCACATTTACTCAGTGGAGTAAGTCATCAATTAAAGAAGGATTTAATAAAATGGATAGAATTTTATTTGATCCTTCAACAATTACTGCAAAAATTCATCCAAATGCCATTTATACTAGCAGTTTATTAGATTTTACAGATCTTCCACAACCTGTGAATTCCAAAATGGTGACAATTATTGGTAATTATAATGGTAATTGTCATCAACTATTTGATTACTAATTAATTTTAAAATTCAATAACATCATCAACATTAATATTATTTTAAATAATTATTTTATAGGATCTAATCAAATCAATTTAGATAATATTAATAATGGTAATTATTTGATTATTAATTTTAAAATTAAATATCAACATATTAATACTATTTTCATTGTATTATATTTATTTATAGATTCTAATCAAATAGAGTTAGAAATTTAGATCCATCTGATTATTGAAATTTTCACATTGGCCTTTTCATTATCATTATTTTTATTAGCGACGTTAGTCAGTCAGCTGATAAAATTTTCTCAATGTTCGTTTCATTACTTAGAATCAAAGCTCCGAATGCTCCGAATAAGCTGAGTTGAGCCGAATTTATACTTGGCTCAAATTTAATATTATTTTTTCATAAAATTACTACAGACCATTGAATTATGGAGTATAAACTATTAATATCCTCTAATCCCTTATTCGAATATTTGTAATTCATATTCGATTCTTATTCGAATATCTTTGAGTATCCGTACTTTCGAATTAATACTAATATATTTTATTTTTTATTAACATTCATGTAATTAAATATTAAATACATAAAATTTTTGATAATAGCACGTTTTAATTTGTCAGTTGTTAAAGTGAATACTTTGTTTCCAAGATTCCATTAAATATAACTTCTTGTAATTAATTTATTGCTGTTATATGAGGAGGATAAGAAACATGTTGAAGAGGTAGCAAGATTTCATTAAACTCAAAATCTTCAGATAAAAGACACAAGTGGCTCCAATGTATTTCATGGCGTCCTTTAGAAGTCTAGAGAAACAAGTATTTTTACTTGACAAATTTGTTCGTCTCCTTCCTCAATAAACGATCCCAAATATAGCTTTCTTTAGGTCTTTTACGTTTCGTCAAAGTTTTATATTATTTTTTATTGGCGGTCTACAAAATTTATCATTGACAATGGACTTTTGACGAAAATTTAGAATTTATCATTTCAACGAATCTCGCTATACCAAAATTACTAATCGAATTTTATGTTTCTAAAAATTCGGCTTGGCTGTATAATTTCACAACGTTTGCTCATATATTTGAGGAGAATTAAAACGAAATCTAAAAACGGTCAAAAAATCTTTATTATTATTGAGTCAAGCTAAAGTTTCTATTCAGTCTAAATTCGAATTATTGGTTTATTTAGAAATTCTAAGTTGAGCAGTTCCAAATTCGACCTGAGTTCAAGAAAATAGGCTCTGAAAATTGTTTTTTTAGGAATAAATAAAAATGAAATATCATTCGTTATATCGAGCCGGCCCGGCTCGTTCGGATCTTTACTTTGAATGACAGAGAGAAAAAAAAACATACCATTTATTTGTTCCCCCCGAAAAAAAAATACTTGTAGCAGAATAAAAGATAATAATAATAAAGAAAGTAATAAAAATGGTGGCGAATTAAGAGACATATCATTGAATAATAATAATAATAATAATAATAATAATAATAATAATAATAACAATGAACCATTAGGTAAATAATAATTGATCTTTTAATAATGAAGGGGATTTTGAATCTGATAATACTAGTTTACATTACTCAATTTCAACTAACTCAAATAATAATACAATTATTGAAAAAAGATCTATTCAACATCAACATGTAGAACTCTAAACCATTTGTTTGTTGGAATCAAAAAAAAGTGATTTTACCAAATCTTGAAGAATTTACTTGAGTCTTAAAATGAGGAATTTTCTTTTTTTTTATTACCTTGTATATAGTTTTTTCCATTTTCACTTTTCTCTCGGGATAAATATAAATCTAACAATGACTAATAATAGTTCTGAAATTTCAATAAAACAACACCACTAATAACGATCATAGTAAATTATTAGATCATCTCTTAGTACTCCGTTAACTGCGCTGCTACATCATCACCAGTTGCTATTGATGTCGTCTGATGAGACATTTATTCCTATATAATCACCGTATGAGCATGTTTTTTTGTTCATATTTAGACACCTCAAGGATTTCTGTCCGAATATCAACATGGGTTTTCAGGAAAAAGCTCATATAAATAAATGTTTTACATTTATGATGATGAACACACTTCCACAGATATATTGAAACCTGGATACAAGAATCATCATTTTTTAATGAACAATTTTATAACAATGGCGACAACAACAATTGGTTATTTTTTGGTATGCCAAGATGGCAGGTGCTATTTAACATCAAATTTTTAATTCTTTATTGAAAGGACCAATCAAATTTTACGTAGGTAGGAGCGAAATCAGCTCTTTTCGTATAAACATAATTTTAATATCATCGATTTACACAGCATTTTCGGGTACAAAAAAAATTTATTTATTATTATTATTTATTATTTATTTAAATAATTTTTTAAAACGGAATGTTGTTTTACTTCGAAAATCTTTACCTCGTTATTTTATTTTAAGAGGATATAGAGTTATTTTATACAACTTTACTTACGATCTTTATTATTATTATTTTCTTGTCTACCACGAAAATCTTGAATTTAATCTACATGATGTGATATACTTTCTAATAGTTGTTGATAATAATAGTATTACCTACCACATTGTCGTGGGTATTGATTGATGATATAGTATTGATGTCACAATTACTATAATTATAAAATTGGATTTTGGATTTGGTAAGCACGTATAAAGGTATAAAGGTGTTGCACACTTTGAAACAAGCCTGTGCCTCGGGCCAAGTGAAACTTTGTATTTCATAAAGGATGTGTATAACCCTTGGCTTGAAATTCCCACAAAACTATTTCCACGTGATATCTTTCCAATGTAAATTTTTGTCGTCACTCTTGTATCACATATTAAATAATTTACGTCAAATTACATGAAAAACTAAACTCGACTTGATACGTGTAACATCGAATATTAAAAAAAACTCGTTTTTATTTATTATTATTTATTATTATTAATTTGTACTATTCATTATTTTTGATTCATTTTTGTGCTCATTTGATAAATGTCCATGAATCTCAATTTCTTTATGAATCTCAGTCTCGATAGTAACATTGGCGTCAATTCCATCTTTATTCTTATCAATTAAATCGTTAATTGTTTGATTTTGAAGATGTGGAATTGATAGTGGATCTGGTTCGCGATCAGCTTTTACCTTTTTTGACGAATATGATTTAATATGATTTATAAAAATATATAAGGTTAAAAAAACGATAAAATTAAAACTTACATATGCCTCGCTATCAGAAGCTAAAGTTTCATCCCACCCAGGTGCGTGCTTTAAAATATTTTTCTTTTTTCCTTTGTAAAATAAAAACAAATAAAAATTATTTCTCGATCTGTCATTCCACACTCCCTCTCATAATCACTAATCACAATGAATTATTAATAATTGCCTTTAAGTGATATTTCTTTTTCTTTTTCCAAGGTTTTGGGTTCATTATCTGAAAAATGACTACAAAAGAATAATAAATTTTTTTTTAATATAATGATTTATTATGTAACCTAGCAAGTAATTAATAATTGATATAATTATTTTTTCACCTTCCAATTGGTGTATACCATCTTCTATTGCTATGCTGACAACTGGTGTTTAATAGATTAATCGATAATTTCGTTGTTTTATTATTATATTTAATAAAACCTTTAAGATAATTCATGATTATTATTTTTATTCAAAAAAAAAAATGTGTAGAATTTTTTTTTTTATTGATGCTGGGAATTTTATACACTCGAATTATTATACAACGTGTCATAATGACATCATTCTCAAATTATTCATAATGTACAATTCCATCAGATCATTTGGATTATTATTAATTCCATAATAACAAATGAGTTTTATAACATCACTCACTTCTCAACACATATTATATATTTCAGATATTTACCAGATTTGGTCTTTCTCCACGATACTTTTGACCATATAATTTATTCCATTATATTACAAAAAAAATAATCCGGTCACTTCAAAAGGTTAAACAAGTAATACTTTTAAATTTAGATTAGTGACAAAATTAATTAGTATTTAAACAAGATTCTTTGCAATGTGTTTATTCTTCTTTCCATCATTTTTAATAAATCTATTTGTTGATTCCGTGTGAATCAATAATAATTAATGGATTGGTGTTTCCAAAATTGTGTTGATCAGTTATGATTGCTGGTAGTTCGTTTGAAAGTTTTTTGGTTTGTTTCTTTCTTTACTCACTACAATAACTATTAAATATTGTTGAGCGATTTCTTTTTGTAATCTTTGAAATCCGTTTAGCATGGACAGCACACAATTTATGGTTAAGAAGCTTATTATCATATTATCATATTCTTATTAACAAAAATCAGTATTAAACTTACGTGCCCTCGAACAAATAGACCAGAAAATAACAATAATTATCAATTATTAACAATGTTAAATAAAACTTGCCTTCCTGGAGCTTTGGGAATCTGGTGGATTGCAATCTGTCTAACCTAAATATACTGTAATCAATTATTAAATCGGTTTTTAAAAGTTGAATTACTTTCGTTATGCAACATTATAATCAACATTATAAACATAATAAAATTTGTTATTCTGATTACTAACAACTCTAGCAAATGGTAATTTTGTGAGAAGCTTAATTGTCTTATGGGGCCATCACCTTTACAAATAACATAAAGAAAGTTCTTTAATACAATAAACAGAAAACCAAAATCAATTTATGATTGGATTGTGGACTTCCTCCAACATCGTCAACACCTTTCCATCGCTACCACTTTTTCTATTACCACAGCATACACTACCATTATTGTTATTAATATCAAACATCATAAGATTAAAGTTGGTGTCTGCAACTAATAAGCCGCAACCCATGATGTCGCAGAATTTAAATCAGTTCCAAAAATCAACTTTACATAAGATGGCAGACAATTTAATTGAAATTGGAGTGATATGTAAATTCGCAAAAATAAATAAATCAATAGGACAGAAAAAAAAGCGTCACACTGTATTCTTTATTTTTTCCAACATTAATTAATTTCATCAATAAAATTTTGTTAAATAATCAAGACCAGGCGTTTTTATTTCTTACTTGTCTTCTATTTTTTTTTATTTTTTTTTTCAATGCCTTCCATGTAATGGTGACTTATCGATCGATATCTTGATATCATCGAAAACTTGCACAATTCTATTTTGTGGAATTACAATTATTTAATATTAAAATTCACTCGAGAATAGATATTTTATTATTACTAAACTAATATAGTTTATTTACGATTGAAGAGGAAGATGATTTCTAAGAAATAAATACAGCTTCCAAGTTCTAATCTATATAGATTAATTAACTCGATATATATATATATATATTGGCAACCTTTTGAACTTTTACCATCACATCAGGTCTCAACGAATTTTATATGCAAAGTAAAAAAATTTTTGTAACACGGATTTTAATTATAATTCGTTGAAACAAGATCCGTTGAAAACGTGGTTCGGCTGTATTTTGTTTTTAATATGACTTCTCTCTCATTTCAAATAATGTTTTTTGACAGTAATAGTTTCTATATGCATATGAAAATTTTAATAAAGCTAACTTTTTTCCAAGAGAAATTTTAATCCATTAATAGAAGAATTACTCGGACGAAAAAATAAATATTTCGAGAATTTATCATGCTACGTTTCTCTTAATTTGCACGATTATCTATGAAATACATCACTAAACTCTATGGCTATCTATATTAGTACATAATAATAATAAGTGTTATAGCGCTAATCTCACCGCACGGATTCACACGACATTATCTATCCAAATTACTAAAATAAAAAAAACAATTGCCTTTTCGAAATCCAGCTGAAGAACAGTTTCAGTTTTTGTTTACAATAATAATGTAATGAGAAATAATATCAATTGAAAAAGGCGTGAAGCGCCAATGTGTTATAACAGTGGGCTGGGGTATTTGGATAATTATCAGTGAACTTCATTATTTGGACCAGAAGTAGGCTAGGCCATTTACTTGTACTGCCGCATTAGTAGTAAAATTAAATACAAAAAAAAATGCTTTGATGTGGTTAAGGTCCATTAATTGCTGATCTGCGTATGGATCGGGGCAGTGGATTGGGGTTATGTTTACTATGTGAAAATGTACTGTGCTTTGTGCCACGCAGCGTGATATCATTTTTGTATATATGAATAAACATAGCAAGTAAAAAAATTAAAGGGTTGTATGTGATATTTAAGACTTTACTAAACTTCAACACTACCAAGGCAGTATTGCGAGCCATTAATTGGTGCACCAATTTCTATCATTAGATGGGTTAAAAACTTTACTTGTAAAAAAATAGTTCCTAAAAAAGAGTAAAATTATATAATTTCAATGAAATTCACATTTTTAAATAAAAGACACGTCTTCTTGATCGATAACAATAAACTTGTATTTATATCTTTTTTTCAAGTTCAAAAACATCGAAAACAAGGATTGAGATCCACAATTAACGAATACGCATATATCACGTCCATATTGAATTCATGAATGAAAATTTTGTGTACTAAATCGATTATATGAAACACATACAACTATGACATAATAATGGTTTTCATGCGAAACACGAGCGTTTTTAAAATACCACAATCACAGAAAACATTCTCCTTGGTATTTGATTAACGTGCCTTATCTGTTAAATATATTTGCGAAAACGTGTTCTTAAAGCCCTTTTTCATTTCTCACGAGTAGAATGAATGCAATTAACTGATTGAAATCGTCGCCACATCAAAATCATTTTTATTTTCTCATCGTCACACTAAAGGAATTGAAAATGACATTGAATGATAGATAAGAGAGAAGGTGTGTAACAAAGTTTCAGAATATTTGACAATAACGTAATATAAATCATCATCATCACATGTAAAAGGACACATGTGTAATTATTTTTATTTGTTTTTGTTATTTATTTATACAATTATCATGCGTTTATTATCAATGAATCAGTTGTAAATAGTGTTAGTTGTATTTCACGATGTAATAAGTTTTGATGAATTTAGTAGTTCTGGTACAAGATCTGCAAAGAATTGTATAAAGAAAATGATCATCATGAAAACGCCCATATAACAAAAAACTTCACAATCAAAATTATTTTTAATTTAAATAATTATTGTTTAATAATTTTTTCGTTTTAAATTTTTAAAAGCAGGAAAGTTACTAATGACGCTCACAGAAACTACAACCCAAGCAGCCCTGGAAACAAATGAAGATTTAAGAATTCAAGAACTTTTTGCCGCCTCGCAAAAATTATTGAATCAATCACAACCTTCGAATCCTAACAACAATAATAATCCTATTAGCACAAACCTTACAACGACTGATACTCCCACAACCTCTGCCTTTTCTATGCACCCAGAAATAATATCACAAGATAGAAATCAACCAAAACCAAGAAGAAATTCAAAAAAAAAAAATGTCGACAACTATAATTTTGGTGACGCTTCTGATTATTCATTACCCGTATCCAATAACGGTTCAACTCCATCTTTAATTAGTATGACAGGTATACCACCTTCACCTCCTACTATGAACCCAATAAATTTAAATAACAATGGCAATAATATATCATCATCATCAACTATTCCTCATAATATGACTTCAAATAATAATAAAAGTGATCGTGTTAAATCATCATCATCACATCGTGAAAGAGCTGATATTAATAAAGATATACCAACTGGTCCACCAGAATTAATTAGAGATCCAACAACAGAATCATTTTCATCTCACGCATATGGTTGGCCTATTTTGTTTGCTGTCATACCTCCAATGGGTGCTCTTATTTTTGGTAAATCTGATATTTGGAGCGATTTTCTTTTATTGCTTTTAATTGCATTCTATCTTTATAATATCATCAAAGGTATTTATTTACTTACATTAATTATTATTTACGAATGATTTTTTTTTTAAAAAAAAATTAATGGTGGCAATAATGGCAATAATTATTAATAATTAAAATTTTTCTTAAAAATACAAATACATAGTACCTTGGGAACTTTATTATGCTGCTAGGTCTAGACGTGTAATAAACGAAAGTACGACTCAAGATCAAGCATTAGATCCAACTCAAGAAGCCATCAAAAATCAAGCAATCAAAGAACTTCAACGTCAAGAATTATATGCTTTAATACTTGTCGTCGCCTCCCCAATCATCGGTGGTTATACATTACATGGTGCAAAAATGTATATGACTGACTATGACAAATACATTTCTCATTTTAATATTGTGTTGTTCGTTTTTGCTGCTGGTATTAGGCCTTTAATGCATATAGCCAATTTAGCAAAAAATAGAACTTTACACCTTCAAGAACAAGTCCATTATCCTAGTACAGAAGTTGAATTGTTGAAAAGACGTGTCCAACATTTAGAATATGAATTTTCACAACTACGTAAAGGTTTAGCAACAAAACGTGATATACTCAATGTCAAAGATGGATTTGAACCATCGATTTCCCAACTGAACAAGGCGGTTAGAAGATATGAAAAGAAAGAACAATACTTGCGTAATTATTCTGAGGAAAGATTTTCTTATCTCGAATCAAAATTACTTGAATATGACAATTTCATTGCTTATAAACTGCAAGAAGAGCAAGCAATGATTTTGCCACGTAGTATGAAGCAGGTAGTGACCCTGCCAGTAAATGTCACTTTAACAGCGTTTAGTTATGCAAAATATTTTTTGCCTAGATCTCTAAGAGGTGGTCGTCAAAAACCAATGTTACAACCTGCTACTTCATCTGATAACGATGCTGATGGATTTAATAATAATACCATTAGTAACAGTAAATTAACAGGAGAAAATATTCAACAAAATGATTTGACTTCTGGAATTTTACAAAAATATTAAAAAACTTCATTTTAATCCAACATTTTTTTAATTCATTCATTCATTTCTTAGAATTTATTCACTTATTTAACTTATTAATTATTTTTATTATTAATAATGTTGTTGTTATCATTATTATACAAGAAACATTCTTTTTATTGTTACATTTTAATCACCACATCACACATTATACCATTATATCGTTGTCACACACACCATCTACACCTACACACATTTCCACATATCCACGTTCCCTTTAATATTAATTATTCATCCTTCCCCCAACTCGCTTTACATATTTATTAACTCATATTTGTTTGTTTGCTGGAAAATTAAGATCTTATCGAGAAAAATAATTCAATCATTTAAATAAATTTGTAATGTTGATCATAAACAGAAAAAGAATGAAACAAAGCAATAATAAAAAGTTTCATAAAATATTGTTAATTTATTTAGATTATATTGTATCATTTTTTATTTTGGGATTTTATTTATCTGTATATATTATCACTTTATCATATTATTATATATATCATATTTCAATAATAATAAAAAGAAAAAAATATATTTTTTATCCCCAACTATTATCATATAAACAAATTTTGTACACTTTTTATTTATATTTACTTTTACAAATTATTATTTCTACAAATCTTACAATTTACAGCCTTCCTCCTCTTATTTTTCCAATATATTTACATTTAGACTCTACAATTATCAACTTTAAAAACCAAGATATCTCTAGCTCCAATTTCTTCCAATTTATCCATAATATCTGCCACCTCATCTTTACAAACCATACTTTGTATCTCAATCCATTCACCATCCTCCAATGGACTTATCGTTGGAGCCTTTCTTCCTGGTGTAATTTTTGTTGCCAATTTCAATTTTATTCGTTTGATATTATAACTTAGCAACACATATTTTTTTGCCGCAATAACTCCTTTTATGCGTGATGTAATTAAGTTTACCAATGATAGATTTGTTGAATGGTTGTTTTTGATTAGGATTGCTTGCGTGGTTAAAATTGTTGAAATTGGTTCTAACCCTGCTGCCCTCATCGTCTCGCCTGATTCTAAATATATAAGAAGAACATCAATAATATGCTTTACGAATTTGAATTTGAGTATTAATAAAAAGCAGAGTACTTATTAAAAAGGAATACTAACCAACCAAGTCGACTGTATATTACATATAACAATAATTTAATATGATATTGGATTAAATTTATTTTTCAATAAAAATAAAATAATTGAAATTAAAAAACAATCAAACAATCAATTACCAATTCCGTCAGCCAAACCAAGAGCACAGGCTGCTTCAACGCTTCCACTAACATACTGAATCATAGTTTTTTTTCCAGCAGCTCTTTCCTCTTCACTCAAATACTGTTTATCCAATTCTCCAAAATAATTTGCCACCAAGTCTTCAAAACTAGTAACTATTCGTTTACCAACCAACTCTTTTACATCTTTGATTTGATTTCTGACAGGCGCTTGCACTTGGAGTTTACACTTGCCAAAACCTAACTCAAGTATCACCTCAACTTTCGAAGACATTTGTGACTCTGCGATGATATCTTGACCGGTTATGCCTAAATCTACATTACCCTCCCCAACAAATTTTGCTATATCTGCTGCTGGTAAAAATACTATGGCTATGGGTAAATTGTGCACCAAGGCAATGTCAAGTCGATTGTTTCGATGAAAAGTTATATCGGCTCCTTCTAATAACGAGATGCAATGTTCATGAAGGCGACCTTTTTTTGGAATGGCAAACAATAAACGATCAGATAATTGAGATATTAACTCCATTTTTTCTTTTTCTTTTTTCCTTTAAAAATATTGATCAGCATAACTGATAACTATAATTATAATCCGCAGTTCACAATAAATTGCGCCATGTAATTAGTACAAATTTAGAAATTAAAATCAAAATACGTATATATATACCAACATCGGTTCCGATGATCATTTATTGTTGGATGATCTTTACGTTCATTCAAAGAAGTTATAGAAGTTATTCACTTTTTAAATAATAATAAAAAAATTTTTAACCACTAATCAAGAATTACGCGTGTTACACATGTATATTTTAGTAACGGAAGTTTTTATCGGAATTTTATTATATATATATATAACAATATTTAATATTAATATTATTTATTATCATGCCATGAGAATTGCGAAAAAAATGATTATCATATTAATTTATATTAAATATAGAAAGTTCATTTTCCTTTTTCCCACAAAAAAAAAAATAAATTAAAAAAAAATAAAATAAAATGTATTATATCAACACATTGCAAACTCGTATACGAGAAGGTGAGATAGATCCATTGCCGATTAAAGGAGAAGGTTATTACCATCGACACGAGCCTGCAGAATTCACAGTGGAAGAAGTAAAGAATTCCAATGTTAAATACACAGCAGTTGGTACAATATTCTTGACAGATAAAAGAATAATATTTATAGCTAATGAACCTTCGATACCTGATGGATTTAAGACGTTCTATGTATTTTTGTCAGATATCGTTTCCTCAGTTACACCACCAAAGTTTTTTTCCTATAAAAATAAAAATGTTTTCACCACAGAGATAAAATTAAAGAATTCAGCTGTGTTGAAACTTTCGGTTAATTATTGTGGTGGGTATCAAGAAGACGAGGAAGCTAGAGATATTTTTGAAGATTATTATGGAATGTTGACCGCTGCTTTGCGAAGAATAGTCTAAATTATTCAAATCATCAACATAAAAACATATTCTACTGAATGTGTTGACGATACCTGATAAGTTGTTGCTGATTCGTTTTCATCTCACAATCATCGTCATGGTCATGTAAGAAAAGGTTTATCTCCATATCATTAAATTAATATTTTATATTCTTTTTCTTGATTTGTAATTTTATTATTTATATTTATTTTATTATTTTTAACATGGGATAGTTTTCATTTTATTAAATAAACAAAAAATTTTAAATGATTAATTTTTATAATAGACTATTTATTATTTATTAGTTTTTTGATATCAAAAAAAAATTTAATATTGGTTATTTCATTTCAACAATTTCTGGTCCACCTTTATTTTTTTCTTCTTGTAACATCCTATTGGTAGCAATCCCAAAAAATTTTTTCTTTACAATATATCTAAGACACTGTAAAATCACATTCTTTTCCTTTACGGTTTCCTTATACAATAGCATTTCACGTAAATTTCTACAATGAACTCTTTTATGATCTGGAACTTTTGAAATAATTGGCGGACTAACTAATTTTCCTTTATGTAAATTTTGACAATCATTGCCTTTAGGGCAATGTCCTTGTCGGTATTTGATACACACTTTATCATAATGTTTCTTCCTATTGAATCTATGGTTGTTGTTATTCTTATTCTTATTATTATAATTATTTCTATTATTTCTATCATTAGTGGTTGTTGGTTTGTTTTTAAGTGAAGAATGTTCATTTGCAACCATCAACAAATCATTATTTGAATTTGGTCTTGCGAATTCTCTATTATTTTTGTTGTTGTATTTTTTGTTGTTGCTGCTGTAGTTGTTGTTGTTGTTGCTTGAAGAGAAATGAGTTCTTTTGTCCTTGTGATAATTCGCTGGATTACTAGACGACAAAATATTACCATGAGCCTTTTTTTCTTCTTCTAACTTTCTTTTACGTGCAATATTCGCTTCAGTTGGATAACGTTTTTTACGTTCTTCAATCCATTTGGCAATTACTTCTGGTGTATCAAGCTTTAATTGAAACAATGGATTTTTGGCTTTTTTGATCTTTAGATTTGTATAATAACGATTATTAATACTATCATTATTAATACTATTACTATGATTAATACTATTACTATTATTAATACTATTACTATGATTAATACTATTACTATTATTAATACTATTACTATTATTAATACTATTATTATTATTATTATAGTTGTAATTATAATTATTATTAATAAAATTAGATCCACCACCACCAATATTATTAGGTTTTTTATGCTGTTCTAAATGCACGAGAAAGGTTTCATATTCGATAAACTGCCAACCGCATTGTACGCAAGTCCAATTATTAGTTTGAATAATTGAAGGAAATTTGTCGTTGTTGTCGTTGTTGTAGTTGTTGTTGTCGTTGCCACTATTACTATTTTGATTTTTATATTGAAGTGTTGAGGTGGCTACATTTATAGCTTGAAAAATGTTTGGAGAAGGATCATTTGCTGTTTGTTGTTGTGTATTTTGAAAAGAACCTGTTGATTTAAACCAGTTAAACATTGTGGTTGTATCATTGATTGATTGATTGATTATGAGATCTCTTTATGCAAAATATTGTTTCACGAAAGGTTGAATCTTATAATGTGTTGTACAACATTAGTTATCAAACAGTTACTATTATTATGACTATGTTTATAATTAGATTTATATAATATAGGAAAAAATAGTGTTAATTAATCAAATTTCTTTCTTAGATATTAAAAGGAATATTGGGTGAGTTGTGACGCTTTTAATCAACGTGATGATGTTTTCACATTCATATTTTTATAAGCTATTAACAACCAATTATTATTTGAAATTTATGCCAATACTCCTTCCGGTTAATTATCTCAGGATCACTCACTTCATTCAATTTTATTGGTTGACAAACTATGGCATACAACAGTGATTGAACGACAATTCAACAATAAATATAATTATAAAGATTTTGGTCCGGAACATTATTTACCTTCATTTTTGACGGGTTGGATCGAAATTAATTAATTTTGTTGTATCTCTCATTCGTTATCACGTTCTCCACTTTTTGATTATCCGGAATTCTAAAGGTCAATCCTATAATTAAAGAGTCAGGCTGACAAATTATAAATCATTGAAATATAAAAAACACGCTTTAAAACAAGAACTTTATGGTTTTATTTATTAGCAAATGCGCGACTTTAAATTAGATCCAGGCACACCTTTAACATATTTACCAGGTATTGCAATTGTTTAGCAACAATGTTACCAGCAATATTTTATCGATTATCACAACATTATAGATAATTGTCATATTTCTATCCGAAGCAAAGAGTTTGCATCGTACTTGAAATTTTCTTGGGCAGTATGTAGATCAGAGTAATCATTTGATATTAGACGTCGAAGTCAAGAGGAATCAATATCATGTAGAAAGATTTTTTTTGTTCAGATCATATTCCAGTTATTTTCTTTAAATGAGTGATTAGGGTCAATCACAGTTTTAAATACATTACCATTTTCTCCATCATATTCACCATATTCACCATCTTTAGAATTTATTTCAGTTTGTTTATCATCACTAACTTGACCTACATCGAATACATCACCTGCTTCATATTCCCATCAAAAACAATAGCCACACGTAATTCATCATCAATATCACATGTGTATGTATTCATTATATTTTTTCCAAATCTATGACACTATTGCTATGATAGTGTGTTATCTTTTTTCCAAGATTTACTAATTGTGCAAATCTTTCTGAATCCCAATTTCAGATTCTATTGCTGGACGAAACTAGTAAACTAAACGTTTAACATGATCCTGGTGCAACATTAATTCATACGTGTCTCTGGTTTCTTTTGTTCTAGGTCTGTATGATAAGACTCGATGGCAACCAATCACCTGAATAATCGTATGCTTTTTTCATCAATGCTCCATTAAATTGATTTTGTATTATTATATTTATTGTTAACAAAGCAAAAAATAAGAATTCAACATCAATAATAATGAAATATAACTTTCTTTTATTAATTTCTTTTTTTGTGCATCTTTCTTCTTTTACTCCTAGATCTTTTATTGTGCCTGCCCAGTTATTAGGAATTAATTTTACCTCCATAAAGTTTTAATTTGACCTTAGAGTCCATGATCTCTACGAGGCAATTAACATCTATTAGCTTGAAATACAATGTTTGAGTTGGCCGTATATTGATATTGATTTCCTCTTGCGAGTTGCTCTTTTAAATTTCTTTAAAATTACGATTGGTTGTTAACAATAGTCATCATTTTTTAAAATTTGAAACGTCCTTTTGATGATCAAACAACAAAACTTCTGATATCTTAAATAGTAAAGAAAAATAATTATTAAACTAAAAAAAATTTAAGGAAAGAAATCATCATAAGTAAGAAAAAAAATAATGATTATATATTGTATATCATACAATTTGAATGATATGATAATAGTATGATTGATTCATTACTCTATATTATTTCAAAGCGATTGGAGTTAGTGTTGATCCAAACAGTGTTATCACAGTAACAGGAGGTGAAGATGAAGATGACTTTTGTATTTAATTTGGCTCTATAAGAATAAGTGTGCAGTGACAAAAAATTGCATATCACAACAATATTATTACACAATAACAACATAATTCATCAATTACTTTGTTAGAGATATGAAATACTATTGCCAGTTTTGTCTTTTTTTTAAAAAATTTTTGAAATGTATTAATTACATAAAAACATACTACTAATACATAATAAATAATTATGCAAAAAATTTATATCACTTTGTATAAATTTAATGCTTCTAAAATTTCTAGAGCTTTCTTATCAATTAAAAATAAAAGAAATTTGAAAAAAAAAAAATTAACATGATGATTGCTCTAACTAAATCCTACATAATAAATATATTTCAAACCTTTTGCATGTGATAATATCAAAGATCTTAATTTTTACTACATTATTTTTTTAGAAAATTGAAAGCACTATTTTTTTCGCAACACGCTGTAGTAATTCCTGTAATTCCCAAACGAATCCAATCCCTTTTTCTTGCTTGATGCTTAACTGAAATCCCATGTGCATCATCAACAACAGTTTCACCTAAAAAAAATTTAAATTTTAAATCAGGTAAATAAATTTATTCGTTCGTTCACTCATGAATAAACAATAATATGCATTAGTAATTACTTTTTTTGATGTTCACCAGGGTTTCTTCGATAGATTCTTCAATATTTGCAATTGCAGAATCTTGTTCTTCGACTTGTAAATGCAATTCACGAAATAAATTTGCCAATTCTTCAATTGTTTTTTCAATCTGTTTTATACAATCATGACGTTTTTGAACTTCTTCGAATGCTGCACGAGCTTCACCTGTACGAATTAAAGCTGGTTGAAAAAGAGGTTGATTTGATGAACTACTCAAATAACTGTCAATTTCATCTTGGGTTGCTTCTAAATTTACAATTTTATATTGACGTGCAGTTCTTTCCTTCTGTTGTCCCATATAAACATCTTCAATTCTACGATATTCTTCAAGCAGGTTGCCGAATTTCTCTCTGAGATACTCATATCTTTGCTTTCTAAGACTAATATTTAAATCATCGATTGGTAATTTAGCATTTTCATATTGAATTTTTTTAATGCGATCTTTGATATCAAAAAGAATATTTCTTGTATTCAACATGAGCTCTTCACGCTCTTTATCATCACTATCCTCCTGCTTTATTGAAGTGCTCACCAGAATGCGTGTTTGTAACACTTGAATACGTTCGATATTCTTTCGAATTATGTTTATATTATGTTCAATACTTGAAGTTTCCTCAAGGAATTGCTCACTGGAATTATAATTTTGTGCCATTTTGTGTTATTTCATATACAAGAGGTGTTATTTCTTTTCTATATATATTTAAATCACAAGGTTTAAAATTGGCGCTGATCCATTTATTTTTCATGGTACAAAAACCATATTAATATTAATATGGTCTATAAACGTCAATAACTATCATCTGACTTTAAAAAGGGACAGAAGTCTGTTTCTGTAATTGCGTAATAATAATAATAATAATAATAATAATAATAATGGATTGGACCCAAATTTTATTGTGACGGAGATTTAAAAACTTTTTTTTTGATATATTCTTTACGTTGCTTGCCAAATACTCCGAGAGTATACTAATACGGTAGATTTTTTAAAAAATAATAAAAAATATATAAAGTGTATTAAACATACCTGGCAACTATTTAATATTTTCTGGTCTTTATTGTTAATACTTTTTATTTCTTATTTTGTAAATTAGAATCAAATTATGAGTAAATGGTTTACAAAGACATAAAAATCAAAAACAAAGAATATGTGTGAACTAATAAATATATGATTTATACATTCTTGATATTTGGTTTTTGTGTGTATTTATCACTTATCCTTATTAAAAAATTTTTTTAATATATAGTGATATGTAATTCTTTATTAGGCTTTGGATGAAGAACAATAGTTATATATTATAAACTAATAATAGAAGAGCAATTTTTGGAGTTTTCTACTTTCATTCATATAATATATATATTAGATTGGAATATGCTTTAGGCTTCTATCTTTATGCAAACAATCAAAAAATGAACTACTGATCATAGGAGCAAGGTTTTAAATATTGCGATTCCATTAAAGCTCCGAATGAGCTGAATCTACTCGTGTTTGATGTCACATAAAAATTTTTTTAGGTAACGAATGATTACTTTTAATCATTTTTGAACTCGGCTCGAAATTCAAGTTAACACGAGCCTGCTCAACTACTCGAATAAGAATTATTTGTTTTATTCGAGAGTATTTGAATAAGTCGAATAAATCGAATTAAGGTTGCGTTGTATTACGAACAGAAACTCTAGCTCAACTCATCAATAATAAAGATATTTTAATGTTAAAGCGGTTCTGCATTTCATTTATTTTTTCCTAGACCTCTGAAATTGTCATTAATATAATAATAATATTAATAATATTTTGAATTAATAATTTCATAAATAATGAATGATAGACAATATTTGTTTTGCGTGATCATTATTAACATTAAATAATGTCAAAGCAACATAACCATTAAAGATCTCACTCGCACATGGAAAACTGCCCTTGGACAATCTGGAATACCAAAAAACGATTAAATACGAAACATTTTATTACAAATATCAAAAACATTACAATATTGGTGATGACTAAACCTTTATCCTCAAATACTATTATATATAATCTCTGTATTTATACAGGAACGATCGCGGTTGCATTATCATCACAATAATAAGAAATCAATAAATAGATTATTAATAAATAAATGGTTTACATTCTTTGATTTAGATGCAATACATCATTGATTGATTGATTGATTGATTGATTCATTCATGAATTGAGATAAATTTATTTAATTAATCATTACCCATCTAATTTAAAAAAAATCAAAAATTAATAATTGTCAAGAGTTGTTTTAGTGATATCATTATTTTTCTAGTATGAGCTAAAAATCATGTGATGTAGGAATTTGTAACGCAATTTGTGATCGTGATGCAAAGATGACGAAAATGGTAACGTTGTATTGATAATAATTGGTATTTAAGCTAAGGAAAATATTAATTCTACCAAAAATAAACGAAAAGAAAATATTTAGACTCTCCCATTGGTTAGCAGAAATAACTCCACTCAATAAACCCGATTAAAAAATTCCAACAACATTCCCACTAACAGTCACTAATAATTCATATGGTAGATCCACTTTGTAGCAATTTCTAATACTCTCCCCGCCACCGATTCTCCCAGTAGAAGACCACTGGTAGAAAACATTACAATTAATACAAGCTCTCCTTTTCAAAGACATGCTAACAATGCAAACTCTTCATTAAAAGATTCAGGTGTTCAGTGATTTTACTAATATTTATCATAGTCGAAAAGCAGAAATTTATTTTAATTTGGAGGTTTGATTGGTTAATTTTCGACATGAATAATCAGTAATTAAAGTTTATAATAAAATGAGTAATGGTGCTCTTTCAACTATTTCTGGCAAAGAAAATAAAAAAAAAAAATTTTTTACAATTAGTTAAAAGAAAGCAAAGAAAAAGAAGATCGTAAAAAAAAGTTTATGATTTTGAATTAAATAATCCATCCAATTTATAAATGGAGCAAAAAAGATAATGTAATAATTTTAAAACAACAAGGTACTTTGGTAGAGTTCGTGAAAAGTGTATTACTCTACACTTTGAGAGTCCTTTCAATACTTGGACATCTGGTAATGACATTATTGATAATAATTTCATATCCTATAAATATAATTATAAAATGGATACCTTATGGAAAATATAAGAGAATTAACAGAAGGTGTATTCAGTTTAATTTATATGATCAGGTGGGCAAGAGGAAATTTCTATAATAAAAGGGATTTTATTTATTTTGGAGCTGAGCAAGTAATATTGAAATTTTTAATAATTCAAGTAATCAATCAAGGAAATCCTTTTTTTAATGGGTAATTAATCTTAGTTAAAATAAACCAAGTTAAACCATTTATTTTATATTAATTGATTTTATTTATAATAATTACAGGCATTGAATTATTATAAAATTCAATTATTCCTTGTTATAGTAGAACTAAATCCTCAGAAAACGAAAATTATGCATGGTTCTTCTTTATTTTCCACAAGGAAATTTAGGGATTATTTACAAAATAATCATTCAAACTTAACATTAAAGGATAGAATTATATTTATGTGATGAATTATATGAAAAAGGTTTAATCTACACAGTAGTAACATATTAATACAGGGAGGAAGTGACCAATATATTATAGATTCGGGATTATGTGGAAAAATTATCAAATAAGATCCATGGAATTGTACCATATATTGTACCAGAACTATTTAGAGGAAAAAAGAACACAATATAATCAGCATTGGAATGTCAGTGTGGGAAATATTGGCAAGCCATCCACCATTTGATAATAGAGCTCATAATCATTTTTAATGATAGATATATGTGAAGGTTTATGACTAGCAAATATTACCAAGAATGATTATGCACAAATGATGCAAAGCTGTTGAGATATGGATTCAACTAAGTGGCCAAATAATTAGAAAGCTCTGAGAATTTGCTAATAATAAATTTAAAACTGAAGATCTTACTTAATGAAAACAGTAGTGATGTTTGTGGTGTAAATTTCCTCTAATTTGTTATAAGTAAATGTATAGAGCTCTTCAATAGTTGGTCTCTTTGTTGGATCCATATCTCAACATATCTGCATCATTTGTGAATAATCATCAGGCATTCTTGGTAATATTAGTGGCCATAATAATAATAGTAGTAATAGTAATAATAGTAAGCAAAATATTAAATTGATGAAATTGCTAAAAAGTGGTGATAGTTTATTTAAGTGAAGAATTTAATATTATTATTTAATTATTAAATTGTTTATTTATTTATTAATAATGTGATTATTTATATAATTATAATTTTTATGCAATATAAGTGACATCTCCTTCCTTATTTTTATTTCCTTTCTCATCATTAAATCTTTTAAAATTTAATAAAATATAATATTTGCAAATCTCTGCTTTTCTTACCAATCATTCATTATGCAACATTTATAAAATTTCTTAAATCTTGGAATGGTTGTCACTTCTTGATTTTTCGTTACTAGCCACTTTATTATTATGTGCTTATTTCTTTAATCAAAAACTTCTTTTGCTAATTTTCTTTCAGTTCAAAGTAAAATTTTCTTGGAAATTTGTGTATTTTTTGTTATATTGTTATATTGTTTCATTATTTCATCATTTCTGCTTTAGTTCTCACAATCCTTTTTGTAAAATTTGATCCTTTTTTGCTTTTCCCTTGCCTGCCTCTTTTTTCTCTCAGTAAAATATGAACTTTTGGCCAATACCCTTTTGAATTCCTATTTCTTTGGATCACTAACCTTTAATTATGAACTCTTTATCAATATTTTTTAAATCTTTCCTTTCTTTTGGTTCCAAGTTTGTTTAATTATCCATCTTCTTTCTCCTCCCTTATTGGTTTCTTGATCACCTTCAAAATAATGCAATCAAAATCTTTCCCTTTGTCCTCATATTGCCAGTTGCAAAAGGGTTTTCCATATTTAGATGGTATTATGACCAACAACAAAATACTCAATTGGTAGAAAACATGCTTCAAATATCAAAACGGAATTTGGTTATTTTGGAAATGATTTACAGAACAATGAGTTTATGTAAACTCAATAAGTCAGTTTTGACCTAACTCAACCAAAAAGTTTCAATAAGTCAGTCGATTTATATACAGTCATGATAAGCATTAAGTCAGTCAATCACTTAGCCCAAGTATAATTAAATAAATCACAATAAGTCAGTTTCACATGATATTTCATTATGTGAGGGTCACCATTACTTTTTAGTAATGTGTGATTTAATAATTTTTTATTTGTAATATTTCATCATTAGCAAAATGATTATTTGTAATAAAATATCTGATGTAAAAAAACTAATCTTTATTGTTCATTTTTTATAATTTAGAAGGAAGAGAGCATTCTCACTTGTGAACTACATTCATATTTTATTACCTCCATCAGTTATAATGCATAATCACACATCCATTTTTTTTTGTCAAGTAATTTTAAAAAGAGAACTTTTTTCATTTTAATCATTTGATAATTTATCATGAATAATGCATTGATATTTTATTATCTCAGCAATTGTGTCATTGATTGTATCATTCATTTATCATGAATAATGCATTGATTATGCCGAAAGTCACATGGCGTTTCACAAAAAGTTATTTTTCATTTTTTTCATAATTTAATAATGAGTAAATCCAAAATTTCCAAATGGTTAAGATCTGGTGTATCAAGCAAAATATAAAGAGTACACTCAAAGCTACTATTGATGCATTTCATAATGCATGTCCATTAAAGGTCTCTTGTGAGGTTATATCCAAAGCACTTTGCAATATTTTACATAATGACAAAGTCTTTTGTGAACAGTCCAAAATACACACTAAAATATTTGATTGGCTCGAGGAAAAAAATCCCTCCCAATCATCAAGGCCATATTCAGTATTCAAGAAACGGGTTTTTTCTTCTGCTTTTTTTGGATCAAAAGTGATCAATCATTACAACACTAAACAAAACAACCAAGAATCATCTCCTCCCACTAGTAAAGCATACTTTTTCTTTCACTGATGAGGAACAAGGGGCCTTTATTGAATCTATTTTTAATTTGCTTGAAAAAGCACTTAATGAGTTCCTTATTGAGAATGAACATATGATTCCTTCCACTGTTGCCAAGATCTTTGCCTCCAAACATCACATAAATCCAGATTTTGATAATGCAGATGCTTAATTTCATAATTGAGAATATAAAAATTTTTGACAAATCAGTATTCCATGGTCAACATAAATCAAATCTGACTCAGTTTTTCAAAAATTATAAGAACAATGTTAGGAATAGGGTAGCCTGTGGAACTTTAATAGATCAAAAATGTCAATGGAGTGACAAAATATTGCTATACTTGCATGCGATGTTGTCACCTGTTTAGTAAATAATTTATAACAATAAATAATTTTGTATAAGAGTTGAACTGACTCATCATTTCTTTTGATACCAGGTGACAACTATAAAGAATTACATGCTATAAAAGAAAAACTTGATAATAAGATTATTCAAAAATGGATGAATGATAATTGATTATTTTATTATTTTATAACGTAGGACAAATTGAAAATGATCTACCATGTTTGGGTTGGTCTCCAAAATTTAGGGGGTGTTAGGATGCACCCATATGATTGTCACGTATTTCATAATTTTATTTCTCATCTTGAAAAAATGTACAATATATAAAGAATTAAAACATATGTTTTATAATTTTTCTTAATACATTTACATAAAATTGCATTAACTATTTTGACCATTTGCAGATCTGGTTGAAATAGGGTTGAAATAAGGTTGAAACTGATTTTTACTATGTAGTTGCCTCAAGTTGAAATATTTTGAATTTGGGGTTTTAATTTCGACTTCATGTATAGTATAAACATACCAAAATTCAGGCTATTTTATGGCTTTCCTCTTAATGTTAGGTGGTATATCTAGAGCTGCCTTTCTAACTCATGCCATTTTCTAAACTATTTTGAAACTAACTTAGAAGGGGTTTTAATAGTGTCTAAACTATACATGAAGTCGAAACTATTTTGACCATTTGCAGATCTGGTCAAAATAGGGTCAAAATAAGGTCGAAACTGATTTTTACTATGTAGTTGCCTCAAGTTGAAACATTTCAACTTTGGGGTTTTAATTTCGACTTTGTGTATAGTATAAACCAGTTCCAAAGAGTTTTGAAAATTTTCTAAAATTAATTTTAAGAGCAACTCTAGGTGTATCTACTCACAAGCAAAAGTTTTACCTAGGGCAGTGGGCTAATCTACTCAAAATTATAAATTGGTTGGTATCAAAGAAATAGAGAATTTAGAAAAATTATTAATTTATTTAGAACAAACACTATTTTATAACTTTCTTCTTAACATCAGAGCACAGATACAATTTCAGAGTTCCAACTCTTTTCTGAATTGCAAACTCCTCCCTGAGCTTGATTGAAACAAGTTACAGGTTCTCATTGCTTTGATGGTTCTAGATGTTTGCACACACCTAACATTACAACTCCTTGATCAGGTTGCAAGCAACCTCCAGAGTGATCATAGAGCCATCTATCTTTATCCTAGAAATAGGATCATTGCAAAAACTCTTCAACAAGCATGTCTGTTACTTCTTTGGTTAGGTGCTGTGAGGGAAGGTTAGTGAAAATGTCTTTGGCAATTGATGCAAATTTGATAAACTCCAGAGCCACTATTATATAATTGAAGAACCAACCAGGTCAAAATAGCCTTGTGTACACAAGGAATATGTGAGAATGACTGAGGTAGTGTATATGACTTGACACCTGTAAATTTTCCAACAATAAATGTTACATTTTGAAATATTTCTCTTCCCCATCTTTAATAGTCATGCTGCTTGTTGTTTTCTTATTGATTTAATATTAAATATTATTGATGTTGATTATGAAAAACAAAATAATATCAAGCTTTTATTTATTTATCAAAAGTCATGTAATAAATACCTAAAGAGTCACTACAGGTTCTGCTCCACATTTTGATTTCAACAAGATATTCTATATAAATAACAAAAGACACAAATCAATTCATTTATAAAACAATTAGAAGTAAATACAATGCAATAAAAAATAATATACTTCTAGTGATTAATAAACAACACTCCTTCTTTAGGAGAACCATACCATACTAAGCCGTCCACATTTCCTTGACTTGTAAAAAATAAATTGTTTTTTCAAAAAAAAAAAAAAAAAAAACAAAAAAAAAACAAAAGGGGTTCCTTGCACAAAACAATATCCGTGTAACAATTACAAATAAAGAAAATAACTAATATATACTCAGATAGATGAGATTATCTGTATTTTCTTATCATTATAAATATGATATTATTTTAAAAGAATAAAGAAAAGAATGACTTATATTTTTATCACCATTAAAGTATTTGTTCATAGGAAAGTGTTTAATTTGTTTTTGAAGTAATTCTTCACAAATTTTTTACAATCTGCATATAAATGTTTGTTAATCAAATAACAAAATTTATTATTTCTTTTTTTAAAATAGAAATGCCGCCTAACAAAGAAGAAACAAAAAAAAGACAAAGCTGCCAATATATCTGTATAAATGTTGATTAAAAGAATGATGGTGGTGGTTACAATAATTGTCACTTGTCATCATTCTAGTTTAATAAATCAAAGAAACAATTGATTGTGAGCTTCTGAAAGGAGATAAAATTTTCCAAATGCTTAAAAAACTTGAATATGTAGAAGATTTGAAGAGATTAGCATTTTGGTACAAGAATGGAAAAGAGATGAAAATATTTTGAGTGATGATGGAGAGATCATCACAGAAATTTTTATCAGTGTTGTCACTGATAGGGTTTGTATTCATGAATAAAAACCCTAGTCACTGAAAATATGCAAGGATAATTTTTTTAATAGATTAACATTGATATTACTGGGGTGTTGTAGAATTTAACAATAAATGAATGTTAGAATTACATACTAATGCTAGTAAAAACACACTTTTAGAATATATTAATCTAATTTTAAGTTATCTGTCTTTATAATCCTTCTATTGTGAATTAGTTTCATATTATTATTTTTATATTAAAGTAGTTGTATATATCAGAATGGGATATTATAAAAGCATTAAATCATAATAATAATCAATTACTAAATTTTGATGATAAATGTTCATTAATTTTTACAATACATTATCTAATTAAAATAAAATTATTTTTTTATTTCTCTATAATAACCAGCAAGTATTATATTATAAATCAACTTTTACAACACAAAATGATTTTTATTAAAACATCATCTAATTAAATAAATTTATTTTTATTTCTTTATAATAACCAGTATGACTAGTAGTAAAGGGGATAATGTCAAGGAGGAAATTGCAGAGATTCCAGTTCAAGTTTACATAATGTATAGTTATTCCTAGATAGGTCTCCCAATTTATATAAGCTACATGTCAGTTTTCAATAAACTTTTCCCTCAAGATTGTTGATAATTTTTATTCTTCTGATATTGAATCCATTAATTATAATAAAAAGGTCTTTTATCTGATGTCTCTCAGGAACAGTATAACAAGTGTAACAATTTACTTTGTAATCATATACAACGTTTTGTGTAGCACATCAATATTTACATCTGGAAACATGACACATAATTAATCATTATTTGTAACATCAATTATTTCGTGTCTTTAATTACTATTTATTATTTATCTATGTCCACAAATCTTCCAGATAGATTGATAAGAGTTATTATGATTATTTTATTTATATTTTATCAATCTTTTATTATTATTTATATTTTATTTATATTATATCAATCTATGTAATTTTATTATATAAAGGACATCATTTTTAAGATAATAAAGATAACTTGTATTTTTACAATAATTAAAGTACCTGTTTGACAAATGTGTTATAATATTGTTTTTATTTTCGTTAAGAAAAAGTAATTCTTACACAAGCTCTCTAGCTTTATCAAATTTTTCCAGGTCATTTCATTTTGACTGATTTTTGGTTTTTTTTCACTAATATATTGGTTAAATGTATTAATGAAACTAGAGTATCAATGAGTGGTGGGCAATAACCACCACCACCATCCTTAAAACACTTACCCAGCCAATACATTTCCATGATCATTTTCTTGTCTTCTTTTATTGTTATTGCTTTTATTTGGCATTTTAATAAAGAAGTTTGTTATTTGATTGACATGTACACATTAATTATTTATCCTATTGGTTTTTTTTTTGGTATATAGGACAGATGCAAATTGATTGATTTTTTTTTTTTTTGGAAAACAAAAAACAATTTATTTTTTGACAGAGTCCAAGGTGACAAAACGTGAATGTTGTTTTTTGGTTTGGTTTGAGTCTCCTAAAGAATATGTGTTAATAACTAACCAGAGGTACTTTTTTTTATTTGTATTGATATGTATGAGGTGTCTTTTATTTTAAATTGGAAATCAAAATGTGGAGCAGATCTTGCTGGGTAATTACAAGATTTTCATTGATAATATTTTGCTTTGTGCAATCAATAATAATATTATTATAATATTATACTATTATAATTACAAGATGTCAAGGCAATACACCATTTAAAAAGAAACAATTTGATATACAATGTTTGATTATCGGAAATTTTTAGAGATGTTGAAGCATGCATGCTACCTTGAACACTTTACGGTCATTCACACATGTTCCTCATGTACACAAGGCTAATCTGACTTGCAATGCCCCAATGATATGATGATGCAACAGAATTCCAGGGGGTCGCTCTGCCCTGGAGCTACATTAAAACTGCATCAATTGTCAAGGATGCTTTTCATTAATCTTCCCTTATAGCACCAGACCAGAGAAGGCCGCTGGCACACTGGCCAAAAAGTTACCTGCAACAATCCCACCTCTAGGGCAAGATGGCTCTGTGACCAAGTTGCAACTTTGTTGATACTCCTATTGTGATAGCTACCATGATCACTGGCATCAAGGAGAAAGCTGTAAAATAAAATGGTTTGGATTTTGTTTGGTATGTTATAAATTAATCATTTCCCCAAATTTTCTGCATCTCTTTAATTTTTGTTTGACCAACTGAACTTGTTATTTAAATAAATGGAGTATGGCTGTTGGTGAGTAGGCATGCCACTGACAAGACTGTGACCCAGGACTCAAAACTCTGAATTCAGGGAAAAACCAAAACAGCAACCCAGGTTGCGACCTTCCAAGTTGGAGAATTCTCAATCAGTTGCAGGTGCCAACTTTTATGCTAGTGTGGCAATAACATGCAGCAATCATCACAAAAATACCAGCTATCAATGATCAATGCCCATATGGTAATAGCCAAGCCTGGTCTGAGAGGAAGATAAGGGAAAGTTTTGTCCAAAGCCTTTCAACATGTTTAAGTCTGTTTCACCTGTGAGAAAAAAAATTCTATGGTGCTGAATTGTGCTTAATTGTGCCGTCTTGCATGCTGATGACAGGAAAAGTTAATTAAATCTGACACCTGTGATCAACATCAGATTTATTTGTGATTTTTAAGGAAATATTTATACAATGGGAACTATAATCTTTTTTTTGATCCTCCCTATTTATTTATTCTTGTGAACTAGGTAGACAGGCATTATTAAAGTTTGTTTATGCATGGCCTTGGTATTGTTACTACCTGGGTGATGCAATTGTTTGTTATGTCAATTATAACATCAAATGTATCAAATAATCATCATGAACATCATGAATATTCAATTGATGGAAGCATTCACATACAAGGAAATGAAGGAAATGATTAAATAGCCAAGTCATGTTTGTTTTGTTAAAAATATGATCAATTATATTTAAAATATACAATAAAAAAATTGCAAGACTACACCACTATGTCAATCAAGCTATCAAGCTGTTATGTTCGTGCATGATTTAAAATTCTTTTGTGCTAATTTAAGGTCCCATTTTCTTTGCTTATATATAATCTATTGGTTCTCTCTTTACTGGCCAAATTGGGTAATGGGGTATCAGCAAATATCAGAATCTGATTATAATATTCTTAATACTTTTATCATATAGTCTAAAAGCTTATTTGTAATTAAATTATTGGTTAAATATTTCTAAAGCTCTTTGTGCTAAAATAATATCATATATTGAGTAGCAGTTAGGTTTCTATTCCAATGTTTATTTGAATAAAATAAAACAAATAATTCAAGTAATAATAAAACGAATAAAGCGAATAAAAACAAACAAAATGAACAAAACGAATAAAAACGAACAAAATGAACAAAAGGAACAAAATGAATAAAAACAAACAAAATGAACAAAATGAATAAAAACGAACAAAATGAACAAAATGAACAAAACAAACAAAACAAACAAAACGAATAAAACGAATAAAACGAATAAAAATGAATAAAAACAAACAAAATGAATAAAAACAAACAAAATGAATAAAAACAAACAAAACAAACAAAACGAATAAAACGAATAAAGCGAATAAAAACGAACAAAAAGAACAAAACGAACAAAACGAACAAAAAGAACAAAACGAACAAAACGAATAAAACGAATAAAACGAAATAAAACGAAATAAAACGAAATAAAACGAAATAAAATTAAAAAAAAAAAAAAAAATTAAATAATTAACTTTGTTAGTATAAAACCTATTCGTCCGACCCTCGTCGATTAAACTGCTCTCACACTTTATTATTATGAACTGGATTATCAGTTTATTAATTGTAAATCGGTTTTGCAGTTTTGTTAAAAAACCAATTCTTGAAAAATTAAATTTCTAAGTTGTCCAATTTTGATATATTAATAATATGCTGTACAACCAGTTAACAGCTTTTATCCCTGAAAGTTTGAACAACTCATTCGAAAATGGATTTTGAAAAACTCATACAAGAAAAAGCTTTGAATTTTTTTATATTAATTTTATGTCTCTTTCTTCCAATATATTTTGTTTTTTATTCTTATTTTCATAAATCAAAGAATAAAGACAAGTTATCATCATCAGGTCTTGTTCCTTATCTACGTAAATTACATTCAACTCAAGGTCATTTAGTAAAGCCTGGAGGACCACTTTTTGAGAATACTATTTCTGTGACAGATCCTCTGATTATAAAATCAACATTATCAATAGGTGATAGACCTAATTTTTTGTTCAAATTTTTGGAACCAATGTTTGGGCAAGATAATTTACAAATATTTGAAGCTGATAGAGCTGCCAAATTTCGTAAATTGATTGGGCCAGCTTTAGGACATGAAGGTTATAAATATATTTATAAATAAGTATACTATATCTTTGATTACAATATATATATTCATTTGTTATTATTGTTATTATTATTAAATTAGTTATGTTGACAAAATATAATCAAATGAGAGACATTGGGGTTGAATTGATTAGTCAATGGGAAAAAATCTTGAATTCAGATAAAGATGCCATATTTAGAATGCAAGATGAATTGCTTGAGTTTTCTTTACGGGCAACAATGAGGGCAATCATAAGGTAGGTAACAAGAGGAAAAAATCACACTTATAAACATTGTATATGATTTTTTTTTTTTTTTTTTTTTTACAAATAATCTCAATAATAGTATAGATAAACCACAAGATCTTGATTTAAAAGCATTCAAACATGCATATGATATTGCATTAAGTGGTTTATTTGATAAACAATTTGGTATGCTGGAAGCATCACGTGAAGAAGAATTTCAAAATTCTATTAATTATTTACAAGAAACTTTAAAGAATCTAATTTCTAAAAGAAGAGGAAGGACTAATGTTAATGGTGGTGAAGATGTATTGGTAAAAGATATGCTTGACATTTTGGTATTAGCAATTGATCCTGAGACAAATAATCCTTATACTGATGAAATGGTAATTATTTATTTATATTATAATTATTACTTATTATTTGATTAGTATTTAACATCTAATATTTTTTATTGTTGCATTAGATAAATATGTTTATTAGTATATTTGTTGTTGCTGGATATCATACAACTGGTATAGCAATTTCTTGGACTATATTTGAATTAACACAAAATCTTGAAATTCAAAAAAAACTTCAGGAAGAAATTGATCAAGTGTTAAAATGTCATTTACCCACATTTGAAGGTAACCAATCATCATAATAGTAGTGCCTTCACATGCACCAATTTTTGATAGGATTAAAATTTTGGTTAGATTAAAAATCAATCTGTAATCAATTTTAAAAGTAAATCATATTCTAACTCTGTAACCAAGTTTTAATCTCATCTGAAAATTGACATATGTGAAGGTACATAATAATATTCATATATTATTTAACATTTATTGCAAAGGTTAACATATAATTATTTTTAAGATTTATCAAAAATGGATTACTTGACTCAAGTTGTTAAAGAATCTTTGAGAGTTCATCCACCTGGAGCATTTTGTGCACGCTTCTTAAAATCAGATATGAATGTTGAAAAAATTACAACAACAACAAAATCTTCATTGTCATCTTCATCAATTGAACCTCACAATATTGATAATAGTCTTTTATTAAAATCAAATACGACCATCTTATATCCAATTCCATTGTTACATGAAAACCCAAACTTTTTTGAAAATCCATTGGAATTCAAACCATCAAGATTTGCCACCACCACCAAAACTATTAAACCATCAACTTATTGTCCATTTGGCTTTGGTGCTAGAATTTGCCCAGCTGAAAGACTTGCATTGTTAGATGTCAAAATGATGATTTGTCTTATCTTCCAAAAATTCAATGTTGAATTAGCAATGAATTTAAATGATGTTCAGAAAGAAGAAAGATTAGTTGTTATGGCTAAAAATGATATAATGGTAAAATTAACTTTAAGGAATAGATAATATTATTCTTATCATTATTACTATTATGATTACTTTGATGTAAAATATGATTAATCATCAATAACTTTATATTATTACAATTATAAATATAAATAAATAAAATCAATTTATTTTTTTTCATTAATCAAATTTATTTATATACAGATATTTCACATGCACATTCTCTACAAAGTCTTGTGATTTTCCCATTATCATTGACTTTTATAATATTTCCCAAGCAAACCAGTTTTTTATCAAACAAGAGGACCTAGGAGAGTAAAAACCACAGATGAAGAAGGGAAAGAGGTAAGTGAAAAGATTGTTTTCACTAGAATCATCAAGATGATGGCCAAAATCTTTTATGAAAAAGAATGTTCAAATAAAGAAGGTCCTACAGCATGTTTCAAAAAAAAATGGCACACACAAAAAATTGTATACTGCAACAATTATCCAAGATAAATAAATAAAATTATGTTCATTTAAAAGCCTACTGAATACTTTATTAAATAAAAAAAAAAATTTAATAAGAAATTCTATCCCTATTTTTTTTTAAGACCAATTCGCATCTCTGTTTCATAGAGATAATAATATTTTTGACTGTTTCCTGAGGAATTTTTCCCATTCTTCAACCATAAATTCTTCAATTTGTCAACATTCCTTGGCATTCTTTTTTCAACATTATTTTTCATGATATACCACATGTTCTCAATGGGTTAAGGTCAGGACTGTTGGATGGCCAGTCCATTGCATGAATTCTTTTTTTGTCAATAAAAGTTTTTGCAACAATATGTGTATCAAAAAACACGTTTTCATGATGTGGTTATCACATAAACAAGTTATCCAACCATTTTGATCATGTGAAAAAATTTTTTTATTTCAAAACTTTTCAAAATGAATTTACATTATGCATGCCATTTTTTTTGAAACACACTGTATATATATGATTTTGATGAAATACAACAATTGCTCCAAGAATAGAACCAAGCTTGAAGGGGTTTTTGACCAACTCTATTTAGCAGCCCATCCATTTGAATCTAATGAACAAACAATGAACCATATGAAGAGATTATTGGTGTTCATACACTGCCCTCCAAAAAGTATTCAGATGATGTTTTTTGATAATTATGCAAAATGCCACATAACAAAAGTGCATAAAATTTATGTCATAGTGTGGCTTAGGTTTTGGAGAACCTATGTGAAAAATCTCGTTATTTTTATCATTCTTTTATGATTTTTAGTTAAAAAAAACAAACACTGGTCAATATTTATTTTATTTTATGATGATCATTTTATTTTTTTTTAAATTTTTGGCATTCTCATAATGTTTGATAGTGTCATGAACTGTAGACTTTGGAATATTAAGTGTGTTTGCGATTTTTGCAAGAGAACTACCAGCTATTCTTAGACCTAAAATTTTCCTTGCTCAGCTTCAGTTAATCCTGAATTTTTTGCCATTTTTAAAAATCAAAAAAAAATTGTGAAATTTTTTTGATCTAATCAATTTTATTGGTATCAGTTTATTTTTAATAACAAAACTCACATGTGACAGGAACATAAAGTTTTAGTCGTTTATTTATGAGGACCTAAACTACAAACTATTAAATTTTTATTGAATTTTATAATATAAAATTTTGAGAAACATAAAATTATTAAAAATTCACAAAGATAATCCTCGCGATTTATTTGGTGTTTTGTTTTTTTAACTAAAAATCGTAAAAGAAAGATAGTAAAATGAAAATTTATATGTAGAGTCGCCAAAACCTAAGCCATATATGGTATAAATTTTATGTACATTCGTTATGTGGCATCTTGTGTAATTATCAAAAAACATCATCCAAATACTTTTTGGAGGGCAGTGTAATGTTATCTTCTTGCTTCATTAAATAATACAAAAATTAACTCTTTTAAGTTTGACCTTGCATTCTATTTAGATTCAGTAGGTACAAGTCTTGGAGCAACCATAACATCAAGAGCAGTAGATCATAAAAAGAAGCAAGTTGCAGATGAACATGAGAAATATGTATATAATACACTTACAAAACATTCAAAAAGTGCATTCATGTTGAATGTTGATGATTATCATAGACTCATATCCAGAGACAATCTGATACTACCACCATATCAAGCACGAAATCAGTATCCTTTGATTACTAAAACTTTGTTACTTCTAGGAAACCACCTACAAACATTTTTTGCAATTACATATATTGTGATTAAGGTTGTGGGCGAAGCTCCCCCAGAAATCAATTGACAGAGTTTTGACAGGTTACACATTAATTATTTATTAGAGTTTTGGCAGAGTTTCACATTTAGGGGTTTGTCAATTGCCAGAGTTTTGTCAATTGTCAGAGGTTTGACAAGGTATATACTAATAGTTTATTAAAGTTTCAACAGAGTTTTGACAGTCACTAAGAGGTTTCAGCAGGCAACCTTAATTGTGATTTCACTAACTATGCTAATTTGAATAATTGTAGTGTACTTATGTGTGGATATGGTTATCACAATCATTGTCTACAAAGGTGCAAATCTAAATGTTTGATATCTTGGACTGACTAATTTCAAGTTGAAATAAAAGAAAGTACAACAAAAAGATTAAAAAAAAATGAATTTATCAAAATAACAAAAATACAGTTGATGATGATCTGGGTAATTTTGAGCCAGCAACAGATGATGCAGCAACAATGGAAATTTTATTAGAACATACAAAAAAACCATTTTTTGGGTTGTAAATTTTTTTTTTTATTTAATAAATTTGTTTGATTTTTTCATACATCATCCATACCTTGTCTTAATCATATATCTTAAATTGGTTGTGCTTATAATCATTTCATCAACATTCATTATATTAAGGCTATTTTTATTATATTGAAAGGTATGGTTAAGAGAAGAGTTGAGAAGAGAGTTATTCTTCAACCAAGTCAAAAACTAACCCTTTAAATACATTTTTGAGTAGTACAATTTAATTTATTAGACTATTTCAAAGGTTTGTTTCATGGTTGCTTCCAACTTCTTAAATTCGAACCATTTGTCAATCTAACAATTGTTGTTGAAATGATTGTTGACAAAATGAATTAAACCAACATTTATTTTTACATTATCAAATTCACGATTTTTGATTGGTCAATCAACAATTGCAGGGGTTAAATTTCGTGTTACCAGAACGGCCTTCTGTTTGCTCATGAGGAATATGAGCGCTGGGTTCATTGCTAAATTTAGTCTAATACTTGATAATCATATCTAAATTTGGCAGTAAATAAAATAAATTTTTAACCGAAATCACCTGAAACCCTTTTTGAAAAATTTTATTGCATTTTTGAGTGAATCACAAAATCACATTTTTTGAAATCTGAACATATGACACATCAATAGGAGGTCTTTAGACCAAACCAACCACAGGTGATAAAAATACAAATTGAAATAAAATATTAAACAATATATAAAAGTAATACATAGACAAAATATAAAGTTTTGATTGATCATTGAAAAATTTTTTAACATTAATAAAAGGTGTTTGTTCACCATGCAACACCCCCAAGAGACTAAGTGAAAATTCCAATGATTTATTCTGGTATAGTTAATTCAATTTGTTTAGAATCTGGCATACTTAATTCAATTTGTTTAGATTCTATAATTTAAATATATAATTTAAAATATCATTAATAGATCATTAAGGTTAAATATATAACAATAAATTGGATAATCACCATTATTGTTACTAATAATTGTAACTTTGTTGGAATTTACAAGTTGAGGAAGATTTGTAAAATTTAATAATCTACTTGTATAAATAGCACTTGGATGAACAATTGCTGAAATTGTTGAAGGGTTAAATGGGTTTTTATCTGCATCCTTAAATATTTTTCTCAATTTTTCTAATTCATCAAGCTGTTCTTCAGAATAACTAGAAATATTAGATTCAATTGCATCCTTCCAAAAAGTAATAATTTTTAAAATTTCATCTGCTGTTGGTCTTTTTTTAGGATCCAGCATCCATGCATTTGCATGTTAACTTAATATAACATTCTGGAGTATTATCTGAAAAACTAGGCCTTAATCCACCACAGATCTTGAAAGCAAGATTTATATCATGTGGTTGATCTTTGAATGGCTGTTGATGTGTTGATGTTTCTGACATTAAAATCCCAAAGCTATAGATGT